GTAAACTTAAAAGCTACGATCATGGAATAATCAGATATCGGGGATTATTTGAAAAAGTAGATCTGTATTTAAAAATATAAAAGTTGATAAAAAGATTCTGATTTAAAGAACTGTTTAAGAAATTATATCTACTAGCTCCAAAAATATAAATAAATTCATAAATATTTAAATATTAAATATTAATATATAAAATTAAAATCATTTTTGTCAATTTTTTTTAGTCAATTAAGTTTACTTTTATTGGTTTCCCCGTATATGTATATCATTATACATAATTGTAATTTTTTCAAGTTTAAACACTTAATCAGTAATTGGTGTGAAGCTTACCTATTTAATTCAGTAAATAATACTAAAAAATTATTGAAACGAAAGATAATTTTTGCTCACATCTTTTATTACTACAATGCCATTTTTGATTGATAAATCTTGGACAAATTTTTTAATCGAGATTCACTTTTAGTGCAATTTTCGTTTTAATTTTGATCTTCAGCGAAATGTATAATACTTAAGATTAATTTATAACACTCTTTATAACATATCAGAGTAGCAAGATTACCCGAGAATTAACAGCTGTTTTAAATGTTTTTACCGAAAAGTGTGATTTGATATTTAAATGTGATATTTATAAAAAAATTAAAGTGCCTACCAATTCAACCACAAAAAATTTAGATAACTCTAACTCTAACGTTAGATTAAGAAACAAAAAATAACAGATCGAGTAGAAGTGATATGTGAATCCAGGTCACCCATCAAGAGAAATAAAAAAATACTTACTGCAGTAAGAAAGACTGATAATAGGTTATTATAATTTATTGTTTTAATTCTTTAAAAAAAAAATATATTACCATTATTATTATAATTCGATTCCTAGTACTATCAGTTTAAACAAAAACGTTATTCACGAATAATTAAATATGTTACAAGATTTATTTCCAAGACTACTGATGATAAATATTTGGCAATACTCGAAATAACTTTATAGTCAGCCAAAAAATTCAATTAAATTAAATAATATAAAAATAATTTTTGTTGTTCTAGCTCACTACTGTTCAAAACTTTTGCATTAAAAAAAATTTAATATATTATTAATTATTTGTTTCATTATTTCAACAATTGACCAATTACACAGTTCTAAAATATATAAAAAATGTGTCATAAAAATATTGGTTATAATAAAATATATTTATTTAAAGTTAATTTTTTCTTGCCAAATGTGACGGACTATAAACTATTAAAAAAAAACTTCGAATATTTCCTCAGACCATTGATGATGAGTACTTTGCAGTACGTGGTCAACCAAATTTTAATAAATTAACTAAAAATTGTTGTCATTTTTACATTTCTATTCAAACCCCTTTAATTTTTAAAACACATTTATATTATTATCATTAATATTACTATAATATTAATTGCTTGTTGCATTATTTAAACAATTAAACAATTAGACAGTTCTGAAAATATATATATGTTAATGAGTAATTTAAAAAATAATATGAAAAATATAATTTCAATTTCCATATATTTTGAATATTGTAATTAACTCTTACACAAAATGTGTTTCATTTAAATAATTGTGATCAATTTCCTTATAAAATTAGCTGTTAAATACTCAATGCCATTAGCATTTAAGATGTTTTTACTACTATAAATATAACTGCAAATAATTTTGCTTTTCAATGTGTAAGAGAAATATTATTTAATACTGTTAATTACCAAAAGCAATACACACGAATGTTATATAGTGTAAAATTGTTACATTAAATTTTCTTCAGTAATTAAATTTAATCATTTTCACAAGTACTAAAATCTAAGACTCTGTATATTTATCTTCATAATAGAAGCATAAAATGCTGAAAGCAATTAGGCTGTCAAATGCAAGTACTACTATAAATAATATTTTAATTTCAACACTTACACACAAATATATCATTTAATTTTTTCTTTTTTTTTTTAATATTTTACGTGTTTCTAATGCAAAACTCAAACATGAATGTTCTTGCTTTAATTAAAACAAAACTGATTGTACAAAAATCAAAATTACTTAGAAACATGCTTGGAATTATTTACACATAACCGCATTACTCGAACCAAAAGGTTTACAGTAATATTCACACCCCGACAACAAATGTACGCACGTACCTAAAAGATACATTTGCGGATATGTACAATTACGCACACAATCACACTTCAGCACATGTGGAATATATGTTTTTATCAAAGATTTTCTTATAAATTTATAAATATGGAGCCCGTGTGCGTATACGTAATTTAAATTAAGCAACACATTTAACGCGTTAATGTGTTTTTGTGCCACATCAATTTTGAAGGTAACTTTTACGTTCACACGAGTGAAAAACATGAAATAGAATTTTCCGAGCAACCATTAAATTCCATATACGAACGTATAAGTAAGAGTGTTTAAGTTGTATTTCAAGAGTAACCATCTTACCGCATAACGTGGATTGCTCAGCACAAGTTTGTTGGTTGATATCTAACACACCACATCACCCTCACCTATTAACTTATATAAAATTACAGCAAAATTCTCACACATATTTCAATCTCGAAACACGCAGAAAAGCGACTTTCATGTTAGAGGAACTGAAGGCGACATCAGTGACTATAACTACTACAACGACTATGGCTAGTACGGCGTCTACGGCAAAAACGGTGACGACGACAACGACGACGACGGGAACGGCAATGAAAACGGCAACGATAGAGATGGTGATGGTGATGGCTCTCAAGTGTTTTTGTATATAGCATAAAAGTCATAAATATGTAGCAGTTTGTTTAGATAAATTTGTTGTGTGTTATATTCTAGTGTATCTAAGAGTTTGTATATTATTAATGTGTATGTGAAAACATATAAAAACTTAATGTGGTGATATTTCTTAATTAAACTCCGACGCTGCTGCTGCTGCTTGTTTGCTGCATTTTTATGGGTTGACATTAAGACCCTGAGACGACCATGCGGTTGACTACCAAACAATGTTTCCAAATGGGAATTTACTGTATCTAACAATATTCTTTTCTTATTTCAACTTAACTACAGGAATAAAAAGCAATTAGAGAGGAAGTGGAGAAATTGTTATAAATATAATAAGAAACTAAATTTACGTAGTTTACTTTAAGTGTTATTACTCCACTGATATTGTATACCATAGACAGTTGAGTTTATATTTGTACTGCTGCATTAAGATAAAATTATGTTTTATGATTTTTATTGTTTGTTAGTTTCTACTCTCTTATCAGAACAAAATTATAATTGCAGTTGTTACACTAAAAATGTTTTACAACTGATATAGAGACTATCTCTCACATAAGACCAGCAATTTCAGAAATGTTTACAGTTTTAATATACAATAAAAAACTTATTAATAGTAAAAATTGTTACACCATATTTATTTAGAAAAAACTTTACTTGAAATTATTTATTAGTGCACCTACATAGCCTTATAATATAAAATATTTCTAAGCATTCATCATCATTAGTTCCTGTATGTCCCACTGGAGCATAGCGCCTCAGTAAGCAACACAATATTGTAAAATTAGCCATGTATGATAATTTAATATAACCACACGTCTTATTTCATTTAATAGATACATCAATCGAATTTAATTGATAAAGTACGTGTTCAATTAGCTTAATTGTTTACAAATGAATCAACATAAATTTCATTGGCTTGTAAATATTTAATTCATTTAATGTTA